TGATGCGTGCGCTTGTAGAGCAATATGCGCTACCTCTGCTGTAGCGTAGTACGCCAGCCGTGGCGAGTGGAGGGCCATAGTGAGTGTATTGTAGAAGGAGAGGAAGAGGATGTAATTGATTGCGATCAAGGCCGCATTTGGAGAGAGCATTTGGAATTAGTGAGCGACTTAGGCGAGCGAATCGGAGGCCTCGGAGCACCCCTCCGGGCCAATCAGAACGTGGTGAAGCGACAGGGGGGGAGGGGGTGTGCGATTAGTGAGAAGGGGGTGTGCGATTAGTGAGAAGGGGGTGTGCGATTAGTGAGAAGGGGGTGTGCGATTAGTGGCCCCCAAAAGAAAATAAGAATAATAATTAAACTCTTCACAAACGCTCTCCCTAGGTTATGAGACGCAAAGTTTCACATATCCAGACTCTTCCAGTGCTGACACCAATGCCAATTTTCTTCCCTGACACTGTCGAACATGATGGCCGATACTCTGATGGCAGCCATACTAGCTTTTTAGAGTTATATGTTATCCATGCCCCATCTGAACTCAACACCAGTCCTTGATATCTTGGCTTCCGAGACTTTATGGCAGTTGGCGTAGTACTTGAAACTAATAGTGGTAGACTAACACTAATAGTACCAATTTCAGTGTGGAGATACAAGCCAGTAGTGTCAAACGATATGCTAGCACAGCTACACGCCGAATATCAGACACCGTCACCCCAACGTCGTCCGCCATCAAATGCGTCCTGGGCAGCTGGAACACCACACAACGTTGCTGAGCTATAGAAGCAGACAGCCCTGATAAAACGCTATCTCAAACAGCGCACAAATAGCCCACCAAGCCCTACAGAACAGGCCCTCGGCCAGCTTGTTAAGGGCTGCGAGATGGCGATGTCAAGCGCTGTGCTGCTTGCTAGCGAAAATAAGAAGCTGCAGATGGAAAATCAGCGTCAAAAAAGGAAGAAGGCACAGCGGCGCACGTATATAGCTAAGGGAGGAGTGCTATCAGGCGCTGAGGCTCTCGGGCATCTGCTGCTGAGGAAGGGGCAGCTGCAGCGGGCAGCAGCAGCAGCAGCTGAGCGACCGCAGCGCGCACCACGCAAATGCAGCATGTGCACTTCAACAGAGCACACGGCACGTACGTGCCCTAGGCGGCAGCAAACTAGCTAGAAATTGTAACTATTCGTTGTTGAGCAATTTGCTTTTTTTGGCCTTGGTAGCGGGGCAGGTGGCCAGCTCGCTGCATGACGCCCAGCTCCACCCCACCGACTGCACGCGTAGCTGGGTCATTTGACGAAGTGTGTTCACGTCGGAGACCGCACCCGGTAGGATATATGCCATTTTTGCGTCCCTAACTAACTTACCATCCCTTCTGATGATACCCCTGGGGTTCTTCGATTTCATTCCTCGCCACCCGAAATGTCTCGTGTCGCTTCTGGCCGGCGTTGTAAGTAGCATTCGCAGCCTGCCAGTCCAGGAGCAAATTCTTGTGTAGGTCGTCGTCAACTAACTCCTTATACATACCATTGTGGCTGATACGTGGAGATGTTACTTGCGGGTGTACAGTCGAGGCAGTCTTTGGTTCAGATTGGGGGACCTGAGGCTGCATCTCGAGGTGGCTATCTTCCGGGGGAGAGTTGCCAGTAGATGGACCATTGTGCAGCGATTGTGGACAGTCGTCGCGTAATTGTTCAGTAAGTAGAGAAAGGCGCGTGAAACTTAGCCACGCCTTTGGGAACGCTACTTCGCCAGATGGAACACTACTGTCATCATCCTCAGTCGGATTCCAGTCCAAGTCCTCTTCACTCTGGCTCTGAATTGCCTCTTTGTCTTTAGGCATATTATCCTAGAATGTCTATTAGCATTATACTAATAGGGCCCTTTCATTTCACGTACCAATCCTTGTAACGTTATTTGGGGACTGTCTTGCACGGAGCGCGGAGCGGGAGTGATTCCATTCCGTAGAGGGTTATGAGATGCGCGATCCATGTTTGGGTTTGAAGGACGCAAATGTCGGACTGCAGGAAGGTAACAAGTGAGGACTGCTAGCAGTGAGGGGTCAAGCGATGGGCGAGCTTGCGTGAGGTAAATCTTGGAGATTTTGGCGCCGAATTCCAACAGTCACGTGACAGCAGCTGCGCCTTGCAGGATGAGGCAGCAACATAAGTCCACCACCGTGCACGACTGGGTTTTTATACACTGCATTTCACGACTCATCGCATCGGTAATGCCAAGCGGCTTTTCTACGGGACAAAGTGTTGATTGGCATATCGCCGGCACCCGATCGCCGCCTTCCATAACATCTGAGTTAGCCTGATTGCCAGTCATGTTTCTTTGGGTCTGAAACGTTCATCAGGTCCAACGCGCGAGACGCCAGTTATACTGAGGAGTGCCACCAGCATCGACAGAGAGCCTCAATGGCTTAAGGATCACCGGAGCATGTTGAACCGCTTGCCGAGAGCGTTGACTTTGGCTTTCATCATCAGGGCTTGCAGGTACGTGAATTCGACTCAAGGCTATCAGATTTTACTCTGATGCTGATCTTCCTTCAGGACACGTATGGGACTATCCATGCAAGCTTCCTTCGTGTTCCGACTACGGCAAGTCCTGGAGCCTACGAAGCAACTTTCTCCTCCGTCTGTAGGAGCAAGATGCACACGAAACGACAGCGACGACAGCGACGACAACAGCCGCACGCCGTGCAATCGAGAAAGAGTGGCGGTATTTCACAGCATCCGCCTGAGCCGCAAATCAAACCTTAGAAGTGACACAAGTAAATACCACGTTAAAATACCAGATAATTTCCTCTTTTATCACTCTCCGTCCCGCTGCGCTGCGATATACTCTCCGGACTCCTCGTCCCCTAGGTTCTTGGCCCACCCTTCACATTAGACCTAGACCCAGTGGCGCTAGTAGCAGCACCAACCAAACTCTCCTGGCCCCTCTTCTGGCCCAGAACCGTCCTAGGACTGCCGCTCGCTATCTTGCTCCTGGAGACCGATTGCTGTGCTGGTAGCGGTGGTAGGCTAGAGCTCAACTTCGAACTTGATCCGTTGGAGCGGCGGGTAATAGGGCTATTGCGGCGCTGATGGGACGGGGAGTCGCTATCAGAGCACTGATAATGAAGAAGGGGTGGGTGATGCGGCCCAACAGTTTGGGACTGATATCGGCAGGCGTGAATTGCGGCGTAGCCAGGCGACCAGAAGGGGGAAAAGGGATTCCGGCGGCTGAAGGGTGGAACTGGAAGACGGTCGCATTAGCTCGGGCGCTTATTTCTTGCTCTCGGCAGACCCCCAGGAGATTTGCATCTCTGAGGCTACCTTCTGCCACATCTGGTCTTTAAATCTATAGACAATGTTAGTTAGAGCTTAGAGACTTAAAGGGCGGTAGTTAAGAATTAGGGCCTACCGAGCATAGAGTCTCGCTAGCTTATTTTTCTTCTTTTCGTCCTAGACTGCGCGTTTCTCAAGGTAGTTCTGGTATCGAGCTGATCGTCCTGGAAAGTGCTTCACAATATCCTCCTCTTGAACCCATTTTAACTGTCTTTTAGCCGGACTCTCCTTCTCTGGACTCTGCGATGCTGCGCGCCTGAGCGAAAGTGGACCAGTTAGAAAACGAAAACTCTGGATATCTCGATCATGCGGTGGTCCTTCCGAAGGCGCCCAAAGCAGGAGCTACCCAGCCTAGCGCTATCCCCAAGGCTTGTTAGCAAGGAAGGGGCGGGATGACCAAAGCCAATAGGAATATCGCTGCTCTCACCTATAGTATCATATGCCTTAGCTGGCTGCCCTAGGTAGCTTAACTATTAAGGGCGGGCCCCCTGTGGAGGCTGTGCCGATTTTCATGCGTCCATGATATGTCTAACTGCTCGGTGGCGGTGATACAACTTCTCACTCAAGGCAGACTTCCCATCTACTTGATACCATGCTGACCCTGGCGCGACTGTTCTATTCCCAGCGATCGCATGCTCTGCGGCCTATGCCAGCACTTGGCCAGTACTGCCTGATAGAGGACGTTTCATTGCCTGATGTGCTTGGTGATTATTTTGGCTTCGAACCGCAAGAGGTACCATCGGACCTCCTAGGCCATCGTGGTAACGCATGAAGTGTGGCTTGGGCATGGGCACCCTGTGCTCTGAGGCGGAGCCATAACTGTTGATCATGCTCGGTCTCAAATTGGAACCTTTATTCAACGCAAGATGAATTACCGCAAACTTCGGGATTGGTTGATACCAGTCAAGTCTGCGTCGACGACAGTCCTTGCGGGGTCTAATGGTCGGACTGTAAGTGGAGGCTTCATTGCCATTTTCAAAGGCTGAGACGAGTTACAGATATTGAGCAAAAGCGGATCTTCCAAGAGCAATTCTTCCTCCTATGAGGGCCTCTCCACGGATTCGTATGAATTTTATCAAGTCCGGATCCAGATACCGGAGAAAGCATACCATCTCTCAAGTATAGGAGAAGGGTCTACCCCTTCTCAAATTGAAAGGGCATGACGTTCCGACACGGAGGTGGGGATAACTATGAGGTTAAAGTCAAGACAAGTCCAAGACCTACAGAATGTTCATCTCGCACAACAGGATTGTCTGGTCTTTGCGGTACCTCTACTCCTTTTTCTGGTCAGGTTGAGTTCCTTGCGGAGGAAGTGAAAGCCGCAAATTGGGTTGACCACCTCCCGGCTCATTAGGGTATGGTTTGCCAATGTATTTGCACGAAGTTGTACAATTTTGTCCCAGTTCAGGCTTGACATTTGAATATTCGAATATATACAGTGTTGCTTTGTGGCTGGCTCTATCGCGGGATTTCAGAGGCACGAAGACGCCACGCCATCCCACACACCTCCTTGACTCCTTCCGCCCTTCCCCGACTGGCCTTAAAAGTCGTTTCTGCATAATCCTGGGATGACGTCTGGATTCACGGCGATTATCGAGAGCTGGAACTCCGATACGGCCGATCTCCACCTTGATACAATTCATGGCAAGCGTCCGTGGCGAAATTGGTGGATGGTGGTTGGAGAAGTGAGCATTAGCATCAGATGCGTCGTCCTAGATGAGTCAAGACTTGGAGTCAATACGCGGCACGGAGGGTGTCAAGTGATGACCATGTTGATATATCTGGTTGCGCCCGACTATGCATGTTTACTTTCACCCGCCGCTCTTTGCCTTACACTTCCTGCGAAGCTGAGCTTTTTTTGCCTGCATCAGCCTGCACCACGAGGCCCTTTCATTAGCATCTTTCTACTCGTCTGTTTCTCTACACTTGCATGACTAAACTATTAGGAGGTTGAAGATAGCTATAGGGGTATAGGGAGATCTTCAAACAAGTATGAAATTCTAAGCCTCAGTTCCCTCGCCCTAACATCTTCACAGCAATTTTCAATTTTCTCAATCCGTTACTATCTATTGAGACAGGACAATCCCACGAAGCCACCCCAGTGAACAACGGAGATATGGTCAAACGGTACTTCCACTCCCTCCGATAATACTCTCGGGCCAGTCGGACGTCGAGTTCCTCAGCAAGCGCCAGTCCAGCCTCCACCACCCCGCACTTCACCATAGACTTACTCGATGCGCCCGATGCATCTATTACTGTCTATTTCAGCTTTACAGTAGTGAACCATGCTAGAGGAACCTTGTGTTCGAGAAACAATTGGATTAGTAATAGTACATCTCTATTCAGAGACATCCGCTGACAGAGCGACTGCTTGGTTGATGAGGTCGTTCAGCTGCTAGAGCTGAGCGGCGTTGAAAGCCATGTTGTGAGTGTCAGGGAGTGGGTTCAAGTTGTCATTGCGAGTGACGTTTTCGGTGTGGCCGGAGTCGGTTGAGTTCCTCTGACTATTGTGAGGGGAGTCGACGGTGACGGCGACCTGGCGTCATTGCGTACGGGGCGGAAGCAGAAAGAAAGAGAGAGACAGGGGGTGTAGACTCGATGCAGAGCAAGAGAAGGCAAACATGCACGGTTCGTTCAATGCAGGGCTCAGCTGCGGGAGAGAAGCGGTGTAGGAAGGAGACGCAGGATGAACGAAAGCTGCAGAGGAGCCTCCAGGCAACGAGTAGAGTAGCTGTGATTGAAGGCAATCATGCATCTTCAGCCTGGCCGGGCGTAACCAGCTCTATATCACCATGTCGGTCCTCTCCGTGCCGCCTTCGGATCCCCTGGATCTATTGCGTTCAAGTCCTGGCTCTTTGACAACCTATCCGTCCCGGCATCCGATAATCACCAAGGGGAAGTGGCTGACGACCTTTCACTTCAATCTGGTGAAGGCTTGCCAATCTCTACTGAAGCATGGGCGGCATTATATCCTACAATACCGACTGCACTACCCGCGCCGCTTGCGCGTCACTTGTCGATATTCGGAACGCGAAAAGAGGGCAAGAGCAGGATGAGGTGCGGGTGCATGCATAGGCATCTCTGGGGAGCCGACGATCTTTCAAGTTCGGGATGCGTAGATCTGGTGCCGCCACCAGAGCGCGCGAAACAACGGGGCATCCCTTGTACTAAATTCGACGGGCGAATTATAGGGTTGGGCGTTCCACCGGGAAAGGAGGTATCCGTCCGCCGCAAAGTCTTTTGGTTTTTCGTTTATCTAATCAGCAGGCGCTATGCCGTACTAGGAGTGCGATATATCGCATTCCAAATAATTACGGCATAGCGCGCATAGCAGCACAACATGCGTTCCCGTGGTTCTCATCCTGCCATATCCAAAGTTCAACGCACCAATTATGGCCACAAGACGCAGACTCTATGATTTCAAAGGAGATGACGCTCAGTATGCTTTATTCCTTGAGCATCGTGTTGCTGAACTTGTGAGCTATTCTTCTAGCCTTAAGAATCAACTATGCCAGTCACTCAGGTTGAAATTGATGTGAACTCTGATTTCTATAGACGTCTAGCTAGTTGTATATATACTAGGGGAAGGAAGGGGGCCACCCCCAGGGTGGCGCGCTAGTAAGTTCAGATGAGCCCTGCACAGCTGAGGCTTCAGCTCGGTTCTCTACAGCTGAGATTTCAGCTGGGTTCTCTACAGCTGATGTTCGGAGAGTAGCTTTCTGGCATATGAGTTGTTGATCCTAGGTTGTAGTGCTGCAACCTGAGTCAGTCTGTCTCTCACCAGCCTCGCTCTCCGCCTCACCAACCTCTACCTCACCAGCCTACCTCTCACCAACTTCGCTCTCCGCCTCACCAATCTGTCTCTTTGCCTCAATGAGATACATTGCGCACTTGTAGAAGCCGAAGAGCGTCCGGTACCAAGGATCCCGACAGCCAAACTTCTCCAGATGAGCGCAAGCTTTCGGTCAAAGTTGAATGATTATATTATCAAGCGTACAACGTCCAGGGACCCAACCGTTAGGGGTACGCAGGTCGAGTATGGGCAGGTCGAGAATGGGCATGCCGAGAACACACAGGCCAGGAACACGTAGGTCAAGAATGCCCAGGTCAACAACACGCATGTTGACAACTTAACCGTCAGGGATACTCAGGTCGAGATTGCTCATGCGCCCATCCGCAATACATTTACAGTCGTACATAGGCTTTGGCGCTAGGTCGCAAGTTACGGGGACCTGCTTGCTCCGTGACACAAGCAGATATCTAAGAAACAGCTCATTGCGGGGTCGGTTCCAGGCACACAATAATGGGATGTTCCTGCCATACCTTTGTACCTTCTAAAACTCTAGGCAATGCCCCAGACAGACGGCTCTGAGATCGACAGCTCACGCTGTCAAACATACCGATCGGCTGGCGTTCCAGCGTTCTGGCTTTCTCGAGCAGTAGCTCACTAATTACATCTCTGTGGTCCTCTTTACGATATACTCTCTTCCTCATATCTATGGCTCCGGGGCTCCAACTCCGAAAGCCATTTGAGACAATGCTAGCATCGAAGCTCGTTACCGACCCTCCCGTGCAGTAACTGATCACTTACATCTCTGCCGTCATTGCCGGCTTTCACTTCATGGCTCCTGGGGCGACGCCACTGAGGATGGTGGCGCTGAAGGCATCGAAACTCGCTGCAGTGTGAGTTAGCGTGGGCAGTGATCGCCAATGGCTTCCCTGGTTCATTCGCCAGCGGTTAACTTGGTGCATGACAAACTAGGCCGGAAATGGACCGACGTCTGGGAACCAGACGTCGACCCACTAGCCGAATGGTGGCGGAGCACTGCACTTCTCTTTTCCCCCTCGCTACCGCCGTCCTTTTCCTTCGCCTTCTCGTTCTACCACGATGGGTCCTCATCCTGATGGCCTTTCACATATCTTTGATACCCTCAATGCAACTTGTGAAAAGTCCATTGAGCATAGGAACCCGCCAGGGCTGGAGCTCTGCCTGCTTTTATGTACGTACTCCGTTAAGGCGCCGCTCGACACCGAGAGGTACCTCCCGGCATCACCGCCTCGGGAGAAGCCCTAACCTGAGAATTTCTTCAACAGATAGACAGTTTTGCATTAACTTTGAGCATCAAAGCACTTCATTACTTGAGGCCTAATCCTTATCTTAGTGCCATTAACATATTGGAGGATGGTGGGCTGCTGCGGTCCTGCTAACCCTCCAAAATTCGGTTCCCCGTTTTGAAGGTGCTTTTGCTTTACTTGTTAGACCACTTTATGCGCCACCCACGGGCGAGCCCCTCACCTCGTGATAGTAAGTAATTCACCTGCACACCGATAGTGTGGTGAGGTAGAACGGTAACTGTAAAAATATAGGCACGTGGCCTATGGCATGTGCCTGCGTGTTACAACCCGCAATACGAAGCACCCGAGCGCAGAGGCACTCGCGGAAACAAGCAGACAGGTTAGGCTGATCACGCAAGACCAGGTCACGGGACCAAGGGGGTCACGTATCGGACGCATAGGGATCCTGGATTCCCCCACGGACTGCCGGTGGATGGGAACGATCTAGAACGGGACATCACGAGGAGGAGGTCACGTGATGGCTCGAGGAGCTCGAGGCTGCGAGCCAGACGAGCAGAAAGGTTTCTTAGGACGGAGCTTTCATATATAGGGACGCTCCTTTGCATAGATAGGAACCTCGTGTTCAACTTAAGACTTCAATACTACCTCTTGGAAGTGACAACCCCGTCTTGTACCTGAGATTGATCTTGCCTCACCTTTTGAAGACTATTGCACCCCGACGACGACTTGACCTATACCCTGCCTCAGTGTGTGACACTTGGAAGGTATAGAAGAGACGACCCGTTACACTGCGGAGGGCAATGCGCCGCTCCGGCCCTTGGGCTCTAGCTACCGTTCTGCGGCGAGCTCCATCCATTATCCATCATCCCGGTGCAGCGTAGCTTGGGTGAATTAGAGGTGCGACTACGACGATGTTGGCCGTGTGCAAAGGGGCTAAAAGGAAGACAGTCGGTCCGTCGTCGGGCGCGGTGATGCTCCAGGCTGGGTTCCACGGGCAGCCACACAGCGGACGGTATTTCGATTTTGCCTCCGAGCGAGAGAAACGCCGAGAAAGCGATCTGCCGGATTGCTCTGGAGCGGGCGCGACTGTTGAGGCGGGCGGTGGTGGAGATCGAGGGGGAAAAGAGAAGTGAAGTGCTCCGCCACTATTTGGCTAGGCCCTAGTTTGTCATGCACCAAGTCAACCGCTGGCGAATGAACCAGGGGAGCCATTGGCGATCACTACGCCACGCTAACTCACACTGCAGCGAGTTTCGATGTCTTCAGCGCCACCATCTTCGGTGGCCCCAGGAGCATGGGCGGCATCATATCCAACAATACCGACCGTACTACCCGCGCCGCTTGCGCGTCACTTGTCGATATTCGGAACGCGAAAAGAGAGCAAGAGCAGGATGAGGTTGCGCACTTTAGATCCCCTGAATCCACTGCGTCCAGGTCCTGGCTCTTGCCCGTCCCGGCATCCAATATTCATGGCTGATAATCTCTCACGTCCTGCCATGCCTTCTAAAACTCTGGGCAATGCCCCAGACGGACGGTTCATCTCTGAGATCGACAGCTCACGCTGTCAAACATACCGATCGGCTGGCGTTCCAGCGTTCCGGCTTTGTCGAGCTGTAGCTCACCAATTACATCTCCGTGGTCCTCCTTACGATATACCCTCTTCCTCATATCCGTGGCTCTGGGGCTCCAACTCCGAAAGCCATTTGAGACAATGCTAGCATCGAAGCTCGTTACCGACCCTCCCGTGCAGTAACTGACCACTTACATCTCTGCCGTCATTGCCGGCTTTCAGCATCATATCCGACAATACCGACGGCACTACCCGCGCCGCTTGCGCGTCACTTGTCGATTCGGAACACGAAAAGAGAACAGGATAAGGTGCGGGAGCAGGTGGGGATTCCTGGCGACGCCGTCCACAGGCATCTCTGGCCGCCCTTGTACCAAATTCGACGGGCTGAATCATAGGGTTGGGCGTTCCACCGGGTATCCGTCTGCTCGGTTAAGCTGGGGCGGGGAAAGAAAAGTGGCGTTCTGCAAAGTCTTTTGGCTTTTCGTTTATCTAATCAGCAGGCGCTATTCCGTACCGGGAGTGCGACATGTCGCACTCCCAGTACGGCATAGCGCGTATAGCGGCACAACATGCGTTCCCATCCTGCCATAGTTCAACGCATCAGTTATGGCCATAAGACGCAGGCTCTATGATTTCAAAAGAGATGACGCTCAGTAAAGAGTAGGGAAGGCAGATCCAACCATGGCCACAGTGCGACCGCAGATGTGGTCCGCCCATTGATATTAGTGACATGCGCGATATCACTCGGGACAAGGATGGGCAGGCGTGTTGCACTGGAACAACAGCTGTGCACGGGCGGGCTTTAGGGTACAAGGGGGGGCTCATGGTCCCCAATGCCAACCTCGCTCCCAGCCCCACGATTTCCACAGGCTCACCGCAGCAATTATTGGCCGAAACTGTAAAATTGACAAAAACAGCGGAGTATCTACGAGCCACTAAATTTCATAGGCGATGCAAATACGCTTCGTGGCCCGGCAAGTGACCCATGCCAGTTGAAGAGGTGTGGTACGAATCCAACACTAGAAAGTGCAACAGCATGGCTTAGAATCGCTTTAGATATGAAGAAACTCCAACCCACATTTTGTGCTGTTCTCAATATCTTCAAGATGTGTGATTATACCCAAGTCCATTACAAGTGCTCCCGCCTCCGCTACACAGTTCGAGCGTGGTGCACGAAGTATCAGGAGACGCACGAACGATGTCCAGCCAATGTTGTTGCAATGTAAGAGTACCTCAACTATACTCCAGCAATTTCACTTCTGACTGATATACAGAGAATACCGGCTTGACGAGAACTGCGGTGCGTTAATATAGAACATGCGAAGTTGTGGGCTGATCTTGTCTAGGAGACTGCAAAAATACATCCTCAATATCAAAACCACCCCATTCTTTCTGACAGGGAGGAGCCCGGACGTGATGGACGTCACCGTGACTGGCATGAACGCCCTTGATCTACACACACCCGCGAGGTGGAGATTGGCCATCGTCAGAACGAGCCGAAGGCGGGATGGCGGTTCATGAAACTAATTTCGGTTGACCTGCGTGTGATTTGGGCCCATTGATTGACCAGCATATCAAAGAACATTTGCTCGGAACCGATCTCCACAGGATGCCTCGAACGACGAAGCCCACGCAAAGCCGCCTGCACAACCGTCACCTCATACCTGCACGGAAACCACCATCACCTTCGAGATTGCCAAAGACAAACCCAACAACACCTCGAACCAGAGATCGAAACCGCCATACGAGGAAGCCCAATCCACACCACCTGCTGGCACCTGAACCAAGTCCACCGAAGTCATTGCCTACCTCCATTGAAACCATCGAAACCTACTACGGACTTGTTCGCGGATGGGGGACGCCAATCTATCCTCGACAGACTTGATGCAGCCTTTACAGGACCCCAACCTACTTTTCGACCCTCCTCCGAAGGACAGTTACCCAGTCAATTGCCCCTCTATTCTACCAAAATCCTCGTTTGACCCAACCATACTCGATGTGGACCTAGCCATATTTGACATGGATCCAAACAACTCGATGGCGTACATTAACCCAACCGTACTCCACATGGATCTAAACAACTCGATGGCGCACATTAACCCAACCATACTCCACATGGATCTAAACAACTCGATGGCGCATATTGACCCAGCCATAGTCGACGTGGACCTAGCCATACTTAACGGGGACTCAAATAATTTGGTGGAACAAGTTAATTCAGCCATACTCAACATGGGTCCACACAACTCAATAGCGCAAACCGACTCAGCCATACTCGACGTGGACCTACTTAGCAAGAAATCTTTTAATTGCGACCAATGCTCTAAGAGCTTTACGACTCCCAGTAACCTCAAAAGGCACAAACGGATCCATAATGGCAAGAAATCTTACAAGTGCCAGATGTGCCCCAAGAGCTTCGCGCGTTCCTGTCATCTCAAAATACACAAACGGATCCACACTGGCGAGAAACCTTGCAAGTGCCAGATGTGCCCCAAGAGCTTCGCAGATCCCTCTGCTCTCAGAAAGCACGAACGGGCCCACACTGGCGAGGAAGAGCTGAACGGAGCCGATCCAGGAGATAGCCAAGGCAGACTAGAGTGCCAGATGTGCGGCAACAGCTTCGCGGATCACTATGCTCTCAGATTTCACAAACGGACCCACAATGGCGAGAAACCTCACAAGTGCCAGAAGTGCTCCAAGAGCTTCGCGCATCCCTCTACTCTCAGTAGGCACGAACTGACCCACAGTGGCAAGAAACCTTACAAGTGCCAGATGTGCCCCAAGAGCTTCGCGGATCCCTCTACT